CCTATGAGTGTTTACTTATGGGGAAGTGGTTGCTCAGTGAACTTGGTGCAGTTGGATCTGCATTGGGCTTTTGTGGGGCTCCTGCTCTCCTACACCCTACCCCTTTCCACTCAGGTGTTGTTGTGGGACCCTGATGTTGAGTCGAGTTTCTACTTGGTCCTCTTCCTTCCTGGTGCTGTGAGGATCAAACTTGCATAGGACAGTGCTCATTGCCTCTGGTGCAAAGGATTAGAATGTAAGCAGGTAACAACTCACACTGTTCAGGTAAGTTGTCTGTGCAAGGCATCGATACCTCAATGTGGGCTGAGCCCCATTACTGGATAATAGGCTTAGCCCAGTGTGCCTTGGTGCACTACTTTTGATTGCCCTTGTCCAGGGTTCCTGCACCTGCTGGCAGGTTGCTTCAGGTTCACAGGCTCCCTTTGCCTGCATCCCTTGGAGGGTGCAGCACTGCTTGGACTGGCCCAAGATAGCTCCATGCAAGTCCCACACTCTGGCTAGCTACTTTCCAGGGAACTCCTGGTCTGTGACCTTCCCTGCTGGTCCTGAAGCGCTGGCAGATTGCCTCTGCATGGGTTTTCTGGCTGTTCTCCTGCCCAGCTCCTTTGAGCTGCCTGTTCTTGTCCCTGCCTGACCTTTGTTGCTCCATGAAAGAGACCCAATGTGGGCTATGGTTTGGTGGTGTCCACTGCAGTGAGGTCCTCTGCTCCAGCCATGGGGTGAGTGAATGGGCTCTCCCCTTGAGTCCCAGCACATCCCACATCTTCCTTTTCTAGCTCATCTTTTAGCCCAGTTCCTCCAGGCTCTAAGCCAATCAATGTGCTCCTTCTGGCTGGCATGATACCAGCCAGTCAGATTGCTACCCAGCCACCTGGGTCCGGGCTGACCCCAAGCAGATGTGCATGTGTCCCCTTGAGTGGAACTGCATGCTTTTCTCACCCCCCGAGCTCATGAAGACCACCAGCTGTCAGATAAGTCAGTGGCTTGGGCGGGACCCTGTCACAGGTATCATCTGCATATTTGATAGGTGTGTACTCAATTCCATCATCCAAATCATTAATGAACAATACCAGACCCAGGACGGACCCCTGGGGAATCCCACTTGGTATCTCCTCCAGCTAGACATTGAGGACTACTTTCTGAGTACTGTGATCCAATCAGTTATGGATCTACATCACCAAACTTTCATCTAGTCTGTATTTTCTTAGCTTGTTAATGAAGATGCCATAGGAGACAGTGAGCACTTCCAAAAATATTATATATCTCATCCAGTGCACCAAATGCTCTGATGGCAAATATGTAGGAGAAACCAAACAACTGCACCAGAATGAACGCACACTGACAACTATCAAAGACAAGAATACCCAATTATCTGGGAGGGCACACTTCTCACAAGACAATCACTTCATCTCCCATCTCACAGTTCTAATCCTCAAAGGGAGCTTACAAAACACCTTTCATAGATGAGCCTATGAACTTCACTTCATAAATCTACTGGATACAAAAAATCATGGACTCAATATAGGTCTGTGCGAAATGGGCCCTATTCGATTTGGATTCAGCCCGAATCAGGGACAGTGATTCAATCCGGTGATTTGGGTTACTGTCCCTTTTTTCGATTTGGCTGAATCCACCTAGATTTTTGAAGTTGCCAATAGAGTTATTTATTGGCCTCCTTTCCTGACTTGTAATGATTTTTGTTCTAAGTGGGTTAAGTCATATCTGGCTCAATGTATTCCTAGTAACTGTAGTGACTTTGTACCCAGGATGAAATTTTCTACATATACGACCCAAATTGTCAAGATTTGTGCTTGACGCTCTCATTAATTTTAAGTTATTTTTAGTCACATGACCTTCTTTTCCACTGCCTCCAGGTCATTTCTGGATTAGCTTTGTTGGTTTGTTTACTTGTTTGCCTTTTAAACTCCCGTTCATTTCTTGTAGGAAACATTTCTATTGATGTTTTCCTGATGGTATATCACCTGAGTTTGTACAATTCCAGTGCATTTCAACTCTACCCTTGCCACTTCGGTTCCCAAAAGGTCAGGATGTTTCTGGTTTAAATGGTGAGGGCTGAGTTTAGTTGCATTTAGGCCATCATAGTTCATGCAGCAGGCAAACTAATGAAAATCCCACAGTTCTCTCAACCTTCCTTACTGCCCCTTGATCCTAGAGATGTGAGTTTAGTTTGCCATTATGCCACAGGTCAGGACAGTTTACAAAGCCCACAAGACTAGGACTGGTGAGGAAACTATTTTTCCTCACCAGTCCTGAAAATTACTAAAAAAGTAATGAAAATTACTAAAAAAAAAAAAAAAAAAAATCAGTTCCTTGCTAGGATGATCCCAATCTTACTGAACGGTTGTGAGGGCAGTTGTGTATCTAGCGGCGAGTGGTGACACAGGCAGCAGCGCTGGGCAGTCGCTTAGAGGGGGCACAAGGACAGCAGCTGCTGCCACCCAAGGTACAGAACCTGGTCGTTACACCTCTGCTAATTAGAAGACAGGGCAATTCATTTCCTAATGAGGTTGTCTATGGTTCCTGTTGTTGTAGTTCTACGTGCTTCACAGACAGTGGTTAGTATTCACAAAACTCCTGTGAGGGGAGGGGTAACCCCCATTTTTTAGAAGGGATCCTGTGAGATATGTGAATGTGTTGAATTTGCATGCGTGAATCAAAGGTTACTTTCTGTTGAATCTGCTAATACTGATGCACATATAATCTTACTTCATGTTCACAGTATATTCTGTGCCTGCCAATCTGTCAGTTTTTCCCACATATGTGGCTGGAGTCATTGGACAAACATAAGAGAAACTAAGGGAGCGGACAGCCGTAGCAATTGTAGCAGGGCAGGCTGTCACGGGGTTTGACCCAGCTCAAAAAAGTAGCACCGCAGGCATAGACAGACGTGGCGCTTCCAGTGTCACTCAATGAGCAGTAGCATGTGGTGCTGCTCTCCACCATCAGATATTGTGGCCTTCATGCTGCACCTGCTGCAGTGCCCGCTCGCAAAGGAGCAGAGTAATATTTGTTCTGCCCCAGGCACACTCAGAAATGCAGCAGCCTTAGCCTTCAAATGGTGGGAGCTGCTCCTCCCTGAGCATCCTCGGCCCATAAAATAAGGTGCTTTTCTTCCTCCCATGACCACAGTAAATAGAATCTCTTCCCAGGTGAAGGGCTGCTTTTGCTTCAGCAGAAGACACAGCAACCTCCAGGGAGAGGGAGAGAAGAGGCTGGTCTTTTCTGAGCAGCCTTGTCTCCCACCCAGGGCATATTTGTTGAGCATTCTTTTCTGAGCAGTTTTGTCTCCCACCCAGGGCATATTTGTTGAGCAGCAGCTTGAGCCCTGAACTGAGAGGTCAGCCTCTGCCCAGAATGAAAAGACTGCTCACTGAATAGCCCATTCACCATGGACAGGACAGGCTGAGGGTGAAGTCAGAGCTTCTGCCTGGAAGCCAGAAGCTGCTTGTTTCCTTTTTCTGTACTTGGTAGTGCTTGTGGTCTCAGATTTCAACTCAGACCCACCAGACTGTTTATCTAGGGAAGACCCAGCGAGACTCCACAGATTTCATGTTTAGCAGGGGCCCAGGCTGGACTCAAGGACTTTTCCTTGTCTGAAACCTCACCCTACATATGAGAAGTATTTCTTTGAGGCTCAGCCTAGGTCAGTACTTCACAGATTCATAGACGTTAGGGGCTGGAAGGGACCTCACAAAATCATCAGGTGCAGCCCCACTGTGCTTGGTCAGGAAAGACTGCTGGGGTCAGATGACCCCAGCAAGGGGAGTGTCCAAAGGTTTTTTGAAGATTTCTAGACTAGATGCTTGTACCACCTCTGAGGGAAGTCTGTTTCAGACCCTGGACACTCAAACCATAAAGAAGGTTTTCCTTATTTCCAATCTAAAGCGATCCTCTAGCAATTTGTGACTGTTATTCTTTGTCTTCCCCTGTGGTGCCTTGGTGAACAGATACTCCTCCAGGCCCTGATGTGTGCCCCTTATATACTTATAGGCTGCCACCAAGTCCCCTCTAAGTCTTCTTTTCTCCAGGCTGAACAGTCCCATGTCTCTCAGCCTCTCCTCATATAGTCTGCTCTCCAGATCTCTAATCATACACGTGGCCCTCCTTTGGACTCTCTCAAGCTTCTCCACATCCTTCCTGAAATGTGGCACCCAAAACTGGACACAGTGGTGGTGGCAGCTTCTTCAGGTCCCTCATGGGTTGATTTGCCCCGGGCTTCGCACCCTGCTCAGGTCACCTCTGGGTGCAGGCTACTGCTGTGTATTCCTCCTTGGTGGTTATTCCTGACTTCCATCCCTTGTAAGCCTCTCTCTTCAATTTCAGGAGGTTCATGACTTCTCTATTGAGCCAAGGGGGTTTCTCAGCCCTTTTGCTACCTTTTTTTATGAACAGGAACGGACTTCTTTTGTGCTTCACTTCTGGTCCGGCAGTCAACTGTCCTGTGGACCGACAGATGACCCTGAGGGTCACGGCCTGGAGGTTGGGGACCACTGGACTAGATGACTTCCTGAAGTCCCTAACAACCCTACTTTTCTATAATTCTATGATTTTATAGCTTTCAGATTGTTTCTACAAAAAGATTTATACAGTTCCCCCTAAAATCAGTTGTCAGTAATATTTTCTTGTAATTTTTTTGTGAAGCAGTAAGGGAAATAATTCTAAGGCTTCAGATTTCATAATGTCACTTATTTAATACATTTTAACTATTACTACTATCTATGATCTGTTTTCTCCCCCATAGGAAAAAAATTTGACTCCATTTACTGAAGTAGATCCTATATAATTCCATCCTAAAATTTGTACATGATATGTTTTAGCATATGGGTATACAAGTGTGTGCATTCTTGTGTGTGTATGTAGATTTTGATATATATTTGTATATATGCAGATATATCTTATATACATATATAAAGGTATATATGTATTTAAAATGCCAAATATATAGAGCATATTAAATATTAAACATAATGTATCCTACACCGGTTATAAGCATTAAAACAAGCTCTTATATTTTATTATGCCTGGTGAGATGGACATACTTCTGGCTAAGAGACAAAGCTGGAACCTTGTAGAGATTATTAATTTCCTGGTTGCTGTGTATATGCCACTAAGCTAACAAAAAGTTTAGGATTTTTGTAGATGATATATTTTAACAGACCGATTGTACAAAAGATATCTCCCACAAAAATCCTTGCTTCTTGCATTTTTCCTGGACCATGGCTACAACATCATCCCAACACTATCACAAAAAGATTTATGTAGGTGACAGTGTTACACTTGAGTTTCGCAGTTTATATTACAGAGGGTTTTGAGATCCAGCTTTCTCTCCTACACTTCCTAGTTCTTAGCTTGTACTTGAAAAGTCTATCACTCTTTCTGGGAACTTTGTTCCAGTGGGCTTAGGCAGGAAGGCATATTTCTATTATTGCTTCTCACACTGAGATCAGCCTTATGTACAGCTGAACAAATGCCCAGAAGCAAAACACAGGAGGTTTCTGCCATATTCCTTACCGAGGGAGAACACAGAGCTGGTAAGGTTTGGGTGCATTACCAAAGCCACTCATTTCTGGGCTAATGTCAATTTCCTTGGGATCAATGAGTGGTTTCAAGGTAAAGTTTTGCAAAATGGTGACCAAGATTAAAAATATCTCCATGCGAGCCAGGCTCTCTCCCAGGCAGATCCGTTTCCCTGGAAGAGGAAATAGAGAAATTAAGACAGTGCACAGATGCTGCTGTTTTTAATTTGCAATGTGTAAATAGCAGCCCCACTTACAGCCTTTTTTCAGGGGAAGGGGACAAAAATAGTCCCCACCACAACTGGCACATCAAGACATCAAGTTGACCCATGAGTCATGACTACCCTGAACACAGAACCCTGCTATGCCTCTACATTAAAATATTTTATTCTATTGTTAAAATTTAACAGCAAAATCTCTAAGTCAAAGTTAGATGGCCAGGGTAATTCAGGGTTGAAGGAAGGAGGACTCTGTACAAGGGCTAGGGAGACTGAAGAAGCCATTCAAAGATCATTTGTGAGGACCTAGCTCAGCAAATCAATGTGGGCCCTTTACTAGCCAGTACTTAGCAAGGTGGACAGTGACTTGACTGAGAGCTTCTGAAATTCCCCAGCCGTCCATTCCATAGCAGTGGGAAGTAACGTGGTGATGATGAACTAGGTAGAAAGGCAGGGAGTGACAAGTAGGAAAGTATGTGAGCATCATGAGCAGGGATCCGGGTTTTCCATCTGCTGCGGAAAAACACGGAATTCTGCAGCTTTAAAGGATTTTCCCCTCCTTTAAAGGAAAAACATGTGGGAAACTGGGTTTCCTCTTGCAGGCTGGCAGAGTTCCAGCCTGCAAGGGGCAGCATGTGCATACATGCACATGCTGCATGCACACATGCATGTGGCAGCCCAGCAGTGGTAGAAAGCAACACCCACAGCTCCCTCCAGGTCAAGGGTCAGGGGTGCAGAGGGGTGGGGGTCACAGGGCATAGGAGATGCATGGTGGGAGTGCCCAGGGAGGCATGTGCCTCCCCAGATTTCTGCACCCACAGCGGGGCACCGGGTTCAGGGCTGCAGCCTGGCCAGACCAGCTCTGGGCAGGAGCCACCTGCAGCCTGGTGCAGGAGGGAGTGGCATACTGCCATGGGCACCAAGGTGAGGCACAGTGGTGGTGGCAGCGTGGCGTTGTGGCCCTTGCTACTGTTGGGTAGGCAGGGGGTGCCTCACTTTGGTGACCATTGTGACACAGTGCTCCCTCCTACACCAGATCCCATGCACTGTGCCATAGCAGCAGCTCCTGTTGGCAACTGGTATGGCCAGGCTGCAGCCCTGCACCCTACTGTAGATGCAGAAATTTGGGGGGCACATGCCCCCCATTGCTTGTGCCCCCCCACTCCTCCACCATGTCATGTGTGCCCTCCACAGTGCATCATCTGTGCCCACACCCCTCTTTCCCCACATACTCACCCTCTTGTTCATACACTGGGGTGTGGGAAGCAGCAAGTTGGGAGTGAGGGGCACCAGCAGGGCTGGGGTTGCTGTGGGTTGGGAGTGAGGGGCAGGGGCAGGGCACTACCACAAAGTAGTGGGAGGTGGAGGGCAGCTGCAGCTGGACCCATGTCCTGATGAGTGAAGGGGGCAGGGGAAGCTCTGATTTTCCATTATAAAAAAAACCAAAATCAAATGTCAAAATATAAAGGTATTTAGAATTTATTTCATTATAATGATTGAGGAACTAGTAGACTTCTAAACTGTGTTAAAATTGCAAATCTAGCAATAAAACATTGTGTTCAACTGATACCTATATATAGAGTGATGTTTAATTTTTATCATGGAAAAATGTGGATTTGGGATTTTTAAAGTAAGAGAATTTGGGATTTTTTATCAAAGAATTTGCTATTTTAAAAAAGAGAAAACCAAAATCCCTGAATTCATGTATATGCAATGAAACGAGACAGGAAGGGCTGAATTCTCCTTTCACTCACAGCAGTTTCATGATGGTGTACATGTATACATCTGAGTCAGTTCTGACTTGCACACATGGCCAGTCTGCACACATGGATCTGAATTGAGTTTTAGGGCTCTATCAGGGTGTGAGGGACATTTAGTATTGATAGTGTTCAGGCTTTTGCAAAATAAGTGAGTGGAGCCTAATAGGGAAACTTGAGGAGCAGCAGGGAGGAATCACGCTGAGCAAAGAGCAGGACCTGGTCACAGACAGATGACCTAGTGTTACCTGTATGCTTTTGTATGCTATAACTAGTGTTCTGAATTCTCAGTTTTAATTTTTCTTTTTAATCCGGGAATTTTTCAGGGTTTACCTTTGAAATATAAAAACTGGGATGAAATCAAGATAAAAGGAAGAAAAGAAAAAAAACCAGTTTGAATTGGGGAAAAATTGGTGGTGAGGGAGGGAGTAAGGCTGGGACTAGGGAAGGGGTGGAAGGGAGGGGTGCAGTGCAGCCCATTGGCTACTCCCAGGGCTGCAGCAGGGAGCAAAGCGGGGAGAGCTGTCAGTGGGTGTGGAGTGTGGCTCTTGCTGCTATGCGCCCCCGGGGAGGGCTGCGGGCTGGGGGGGCTTGTGCCAGTCTCTTCCTGGGGAGCGCATGCCTCTGGATCAGCGGCAGGAAGCACATGGTGCTGTGCCCTGCCTTTCTTCCCTGGCTGTGTTCACACCGCAACCCTCTTGCTGCAGCAGCCTGCTGCTGGGCTGCCCTGGCATTTAGGGGGAGTGGGGAGTGGTGCATGGCCAGATGTGGTGGCCGGGGGAACCCAACCCTGGCACTGACATCTCCACTTCTCCCGGGGTCAGAGCCGGGAGCCCTGCCCTGCAGGCAGCAGCTCCAGCCCCGTGGGCCCGTGCAGAGTGGCTGGGTGCAGTGCCCACCACAGGGAGTGGGGGCAGGCTCTCTAGCCTGCCCCCCTGCCCAGCAGGGCTCACAGCTCCCAGTGCTTGGGGCAGGGCCAAAGCTGGAGCTGCCAGGGTGCAGCTTGGATCTGCCTGCCCCAGGAGCGATTCCCGTGGCCCATCCCGCCCCCCGGTAGTGGCTCCAGCCACCCTCCCCTGGCCCCGGTGCAACCACTGACACCCTGTGCCCCCAGCTCTGCCTGTAGCCACTGCCACCGCCCCACCATCCAGCCAGAAACCTGTGCATCAGGTAACCAGCGCAGCGGCACTTTTAGCTTACCAGCACCACGCATTTTTCAGTTCAAATCCCTATTAACTGGCACAAGTGGGGAAAGGGCCATTCCCCACTTTCATAGATTTCCTAGATTTCATAGACATTAGGGCTGGAAGGGACCTCGGAAGATCATCGAGTCCAGCCCCCTGCCCCAGGGGCAGGAAGTCAGCTGGGTTCATAGGATCCCAGCAAGATAAGCATCCAGTTTGCTCTTGAAGGTGTTCAATGTAGGCACTTGAACCACCTCCGGTGGCAGGCTGTTCCAGACCTTGGGGGCTCGGACAGTAAAGAACTTCTTCCTCATGTCCAGCCTGAAACGGTCTTGTAGTAGTTTATGACCATTCGACCTAGTCGTCATCCCTTGGGGCGCTCTGGTGAACAAACGTTCCCCCAGATACTGGTGGTCACCCCTGATAAACTTGTAGGTGGCCATCAGATCACCCCTGAGCCTGCGCTTTTTCAGGCTAAAGAGCCCCAGGGCTCTCAGCCTGTCATCGTAGGGCCTGCTTCCCTGACCTCTGATCATGCGCGTGGCTCTTCTCTGGACTCTCTCAAGCTTCTCCACATCCTTTTTGAATTGTGGAGCCCAAAACTGGACGCAGTACTCCAGCTGCGGCCTCACTTGTGCCAGTTAATAGGGATTTGAACTGAAAAACAGGTGTAAATCAGTAAAAAATGAATGACTTAAAAAAATCAGGGAATTTATCAGTGAAAATTGGTAAAAACTGAGAATGCAGAACACTAGCTATAACATGTTATACTCACACCTGGTTTTTTTGGTTAGATAGAACCCTTAGCCCCTTGACTCTCTTATTTATGTATGGATAGAGTTTTGGAGAAGTTGGAACAAGTCAGAGAGAACAGCAAGTGTTCCCCAGTTGCTGCACTGAAAAGGAAAGGTGAGAGGAGCTTGAGTGCTGAGCAAGAAGAGGATGGAGACAGCTGAAGCTGGGACCTGAAATAAAGATGGCTTCTCTTACCTGCAGAGAAGGGCATGAAGAAGTTGCTTTTCCTAAAGGTGCCATTTTCATTCAAGAAATGTTCTGGGTTAAATTGTTCAGGATCTGGGAATTCTTTGCTGTCATGAAGGACAGAGCTCAGAATGGGATAAATAGTGGTGCCCTGAATGAACAAGGGGAGAAAAGAGAGGATCAAAGAATGGGTTGGTTGAATGACACCCTCCAGTTCTCTTCCAAAAACAGGGATGTGCCTTAGAGCATAGCTCCTTGCATCTCTGTAGCATCCATCTGTCACTTGCTGAGTAAGACTTGTTAGTACCTTAACAATGCTCACTGTTAGGGCAGTTGTCTTTCATATCTAGCCTCACTGTTTTCTTTTTAGGCCATCCCACCCGGTGCTCCTCGTTTAGAGGCCAGTGTCATTCCACATGAGTCCTCTTCCTTCTTGGTGTTTACTTCCTTGCATATATTTGTACATGATCATGTCCCTTCTCATCTATTATTCAGTGAAATTGAAACAACAGCCTGCTCTTCTATGCAAATTTAGCTTTTTTTATTCTTTCCTCATAAATTTGCCTGATCATTGCTTCCTGCTCTGCTCTCCAATAACCTGCTCAGTACCAAATCCAATGTTACTATTGCAATTCCTCTAGAACTGTTCATGGATGACTTCCCTTGCCAGCAACTATTATGTAATATGCTAGTGTTTATATATGCTATATAAACCCATGCTATATATAGTAAATACTATATAAAACTCCAGGATCATGGCAAGGGGGTGTAGTCACACCCCTTTGGCTGTACAGCACATGTGCAGTGAGTTCTCTGAGCTCCCTGAGCTCACCGGCATGTCAGCTCAGCTCCAGCCAGACCTCTGCATGTGCCTTGAGAGCCAAGCTCACCAGCTAGTCAGTGCAGGCTGTGGCTGGAGCTTGCTTTCCCACAGTTCTGGAGCCCAAGGGATGAGCATCACCTCTGTTTTGGAGCTGTGTGAAAAGAGGTGCACCAGCCAGAGCCTGCACCAATCAACTGGTGAGCTCACAACATGTGTGGTGCTCCAGCGGGAGTTGTGCTGACATTCCAGCGCATGCACTGCACAACCAGACAGGGTGGGGCACTGCCACCAACATCCCCACCAGACCTGCCCCTGTATAGAGCCCAAAAATCAATCTAGTCATTTTTCTCTGCTGGAAATGTCGGGTTTCCTCTCTTCCTAAGTGTACTGGGATTTTATCATCCCAGATATACTGGCTGTGTCATTCCACACTTTGCTACTCACATTTTTAATCCCTCTACAGCTCTATGTACGAGTTCCCTATTAACATGTGTAGTTGGTGGTTTCTTGTTGTTATGTTATCACCTACAAATTTCATTAGCATGCCATGTATGATATCATCTAAGACATTACAAATAGCCCACCAGACATTTGTACTGCCAGCCCCAGCACAGTATAGTAGTCCTAACTGTGAAGATTTGCATAATTTTCAATATTTGACTTGACAAATATTGTGTAACCAATCACAACCTGCCTGTGCAGCAGATCAATCAAAATCTTATTGAAATAAATTTCTAACTTTAATTTTTCAAGCCAAATAACTGAAGCATGGAGATTGGAATGCCTGGCTAATATAAGCTACTCTTCTCCCCCCGTTAAAGGGGCTGCCGCCTCCCATCTTCATTTCGCACAGGGGCCCCTGGGTTAGAAGAAGATAACCACCAGCCTGATCCATGGGGAAGTGCAATCTGCAGCAATGTTATCAGCCTACAACCTAAAGATCATCAAGGGAGATTTTCAGCATGAACTGAAGCTAATTACCTCACTAGAGAGCAGGCTGGAATGTGTAAAACTGTTTGTTTTTTAGTTCCTACTTCAGAAATTAACAACTAATAGAATGAAGAGGACTTTAATTGCAAATTTGTTTTGCAATTCATTTTGCCCAAAAACAGAGACATTGGGGACTGACCTTAGGAATGATGTATTGTCTGAATGGGGTGTCTTGGCTCACAGTGTGGGGAAGTCCTAGAGGGATAACGGCGATAAACCGTTGGATCTCATGTACTACGGCATCTGTGTAGGGCATCTGGCTTCGATTAGCCATGCAGGCACTTTGCGTTCGGCCAATCACAAAGTCAATCTCCTTCTGAACTTTCTCTGTCATGAAACAAAGGGATTTTAACACAAACAGAAAAGAACAGGCCTCCTCCAATTTTGTCCAAATCTCTGCTGTATTATTTCTAAAATCGTGGTTATGAGGAATATTGCAAAACTCACTGATTTGTGTCATCCAAACTGAACCATGGCTATTGCCAAATGTAAATCAGGTAATTACTATGTGGTGATATTATTCAAAATTGGTTAAGCCAAAAACATGGTGGAAGTGAACATAGTACTGACTTAAAATGGAAGGAGCCATGTGCTAAAACCTCTAGGTAGTACTGCTGGTACAGCCAGAAGCTAAGGGCTTGTCCGCAGGTCAGTAGCAGCACGCTTCAGCCAGGATGTGTTTGAGCATGCCCCATCCACCAGCTTCTATGTTCCAAACCCAGAAACTCTCCATTATGAAATCTATGAAATCTAAGACTGCTCTGGGGTGATCTGTGACAGTCATAGGCATGCTATGGACCAAGTTTTTCAGAACAGTCAGAGCAGCCTCCCCTGTGTATTTCTGGGTTGGGAGTACAGAGGGAGATTGTTGTTGAGGCTGTTGGGGCTGTTAGTGCTGCTGCCAATGCACTGAGACAACTTCTGAGGGTTGGAGGAGAGGAACAAGATGTCTTAGGACTGTCTGCTTGGTGAAACAAAACAATATGGAGATGGCAGGAGGGAGTGGATGGAGCAGTGGTGCTGGGCCAGAGTACAGCAAGGGGAGTGGCTGGAGGGGTGCATATCCATTGTACCTTGTATCTCTGGATATTTCAGGAGTATCAGGAGTCCATATCTCAGTGTAGTGCTAGGTGTCTCTGTTCCCGCAATGAACAAGTCAAATGTTGTAGCTACCAGGTTCTCCAGGTAAAATTCAGACTTGTCATTGTGTTTGTCCTAGAGAAATGGCATGATTATCTGACAAGCTAACATATGTGGCTCTTACTCACAGGCTCCAAACCAGCCAGTTCTACCCAGCTCTACAGTATTAATCATATTAATCCTCTCCAGTAATGCATCAGGGAGCAACAGTGCCACTGGGGTTATTACTGGGAAATAGTCTTCTTCAGACTGTGTTGCACAGTACTTCTTAATCACTATAATCAATACAAGTAGTTACAATCATTAATTGAAAATAAAGTGATTAATATCAGAGGTAGAAGGAGTCCACATGGTTGCAGGACTCTCTCTTATGGTATTGTCCAATCCAAGAAAAGAAGTAGCTACACTAAAATACTTCAGTGCTTTTTTTTTTTTTTTTTAATGGCAGCTCTGGGGAACTAAAAGAAGAACAGAAAACAGGTGGCTGAAATGTTTACCTCAGGCTTAACACCTGAGCACTTGCTTTTGTAATAACAGTCATTGTGAATGTGTATTCCACTAAAGTCAACCCATGGAATTAGTGTAAGTTGACCTGTATCAGATGTGACTTCAGCCCAATGTTTTCTCATTACCTGGCAAAGTAATGTACTCACTGCAAGTCCTTAATATTAGCATTTGGGTTTTTTATGCTGCCCAGTTACCTGTTCCATCTTGGTGAGGAAGCAGTCAATAATATCCTGAGGGGAGCTGGGGTCTAGAGAGTCTTGATGTTTCTTCACCTCTTCTGAGATGAATTTTTTCAGCTCATCCACATTTTTGAACATCCTCTTGTGAGGGCCAGGTAAGACATCCATGAGAGATGGGAACAACTGGTACAACTAGAAGGAATTAAAGGAATAACATCTTTGTTCCAGAATATCTCTTTGATCATAGGGAGCAGGGCATGGCCAAGAATGAAGTACCTGTTCCCTTCCACTGCAGTGAGATTACAAGGGAATTGTTTGGGGCGCTGATATTTCAACTGTACTGAGACTTGTGCATCTTCATGCATGGTGAGGAGTCTGGGATTTGAAGGTAAAACCTACTATTACTTTGGGACGCTTCTGTATCTAGACTTTGATCAGTAGTCAGCAAATGGGATGGGGTCCTTTTTACTGACTTCAATGGGTTCTAACTCAGGCCTTTAGTCTGATAACTAAACTGAGGTACTCATCAGGGACTTACACTGCCTATAGACATTCTGGTTCACTTTCTAATTAGAACACATTGGAGCAGACTCAATTAATCAAGTCTGCTCTGTGTTCTAATTAGAACACTCCAGCATCGCCTCACCATAATGTATTAAGCACCCCACTTTTTAAAATGACTGTGGGGGCATTTTATCTGAAGCTCATTAAATGTTTTAATTAGAACGGCTGTCAGGGAACCACTCTGATTAAAATGGCCCCTCCCCACCCCTGAGCATGTGGATAGGCACCCCTTGGCCCCTTGAGGCCAAGAATGAAATGCCCACCCCATTCCACCGAGTGGTGAGATTACATGAGAACTGCCTGAGGCAGAGTCTGGAGGTGAAGAACCAGCTCCTAAACTGAGTGCAGTAATAGGTTATGTGATGATAGACACAGAAGAACCAGTAAACCAGATGGCCCAGTTTGTGTCACTTTGATACTGGAGCAAGGGAGAGAGAAGCGGTATCGCCAAGTGGTTTCAGGTCTGTTGTCTGTCTTCTGTCTGTAGGATCCTGTGTGAGCATTTGTGCATTTTCAGAGGAACCCACACAAAGTTGTATTATATCCATTTCATTTACCTGTGTGTCTTCCAGAGTCCTTACCCTAGAGTGGACCTCAGGACTGGAAATTGTGGCTCTAAAGAAACTGAGCTATTTTGGAGCTCATACCTCTATAAGAAAGCTATTTCATCTAAGTCTGCAGCCAGATGTAACATTTGAAATGTTTCCAAGTGTAGCAGGCAGGGGTTGGTGTTCCAACAGGTATTGTGTTAGAATGCTGCAGCTCTTTTTAGAGCACTTCGAAGTGTGTGTATGTCTATATGGCTTGCCTTTGAAGCACTTCAGAGGTGTTTGAAATGCTTCAAATGTGACATCTATTCAAACCCTCGGGTTCCTTTTTCTGCTGCTTCCTTTTTCTTGAGTACATAGTCAATGGGAATATACACAAGACAACTCCCTCTCCCTCTCTCCTGTCAAGTAAAAAACCTGAGGTTTGTGGATCAAAATAAGGTGTGTTCGGTGTAACTGAAAGTCCATCCGCATAATCTTATGCTTGTTTGTTGGTTTTCATCTCTCCCGTCATGATGTGGAGCTGGGGAATGGATATTTCATGGATCTCAGTATAGCCAATGAAACCATGACTCAGAAACAGTACAATATGTTTGCCCTAATGAATGGCGGCAGGCCAGCAGAGGTCTAGGTGACACTGAAATTTGGTCTCAAATGCTGAAATAGGTTGTAGGCAGGCAAGGTTCTTTGGGTAAATCTGATATATTTAATTATACCAACTAAAATAGTTGGAAAAATTCTTCTTTGCAAGCTTTCGAGTAGAAAAACAGAGGCAGTTATGTGGGCCTTATGTTTGGTCTGCTACACATGGGTGACTTTCACCCATAAGAGAAGGGCCAAGGGCAGGATTTCTGACTGTACCTGTCCCCAGTGGGAGCTTACAACATGGAAAATGTCATTCATCAAACCCATCAAAGTTAGAAACTTCCTGTCTTCGTAGTCACGATGCTTCCCAAAGATGATGGAGCAGATGATGTTGGACACAGCACAGCTGAGCAGGAAGGTGGGGTCAAAGGGCATTTCTGGAAGATAGGGAATTTTGCAAAAGTTTAAAACCGATAAACTTCACTTTATTCCTGTGGGGCTTTCTAGACCCAACCTAATAATACTTGGCAGAAATTCTCAAAGGAATATGAAAGAATTGATGTGTCTGTTGACTGGGACTTCTGCTTCTTTAGTTGCTGGTGCTGGAAATTGCAGGGAGAGAGAGGATTCTCTATTGGCTACAGCAGTTAAGTGTTGTACTGGAGATTAGAGCCTACCTCTGTCATAGAGTTCCTGTGTGATACAGGCAAGTCACATAAAGCAATTTTTACAAGTGGCCACTCTGTTAGTCTTGTCTGGTGAGTCAACTTGAGACACCTGCAGCCTGACTTGCAGAAGTGCTGCATGCTGACACCTGCAATTGGGGTGAAGGGGAATTCTTCTCTGAACATAGAAAATATAACAAAATGCTGAGTAGTCTGAAAAATCAGGTCCTTGGCTTCTCTAATGGAGCACCCCAAAGTAATTAGCAATTTAAACTTTGATTGTACTGCTTTGCTGTGTGTGAAATAGGGGTAGCATCAGCCTGTTTCACTAGGATGAACTAAGATCAATTCCTCAATGTTTGTTTAAAAATGATTAGGGTAAAGTGATAAGCATTCTATAGAAAAATGCATCGGGAAATTTAAGAATTCTGTGCAGAATTTGGATTTTATGTAGTCAGTAATGAAGGGCCAAACACTGAATGATTAGTTAATTATATAAATCATATAAAACAGGTCTGGAAGGGATCTCCAGAAGTCATCTAGGCAAGCCACCTACTCAAGGCAGGATCATCCCTGTCTAAACTATTCCAGGTGTTTGTGTAACCCAGGGGTGCTCAACTTCTGGCCCATGAGCCAAATTTGGTTCACAGAACCATGGCATCTGGTCTGCAGGGCTCCCCACAGATCAGGAAATTTTGCAGCATGGAGACTGGTAATTAATACATCTATTCCCCCTGCTGCCGAATTCCCAAGCCCCATGCATAAGACTGGGGCCAGGCTTTGACACATCCTCCCGCACAGCCAAATTGGGGCCAGGTCACACCCCTTTCCCTCCATGCAGCTGGGCCACATACTCTTTTCCCTGTGAGGGTGGGCCATACCATTTCCCCCTGCACACCAGGATTGAGGCCAGGCCACAGCCCCTTCCCCCCACATGACTGGATCAGGACTGGACATATGATGACTGCATCATAATGCACACATTCCAAATTAAGGTGACACAGGACATGCTAATTCTGGCTATTCCTAACTTCTGAGTGCTTGACCTGGACTTTGCAACCTTAGCGTTCTCTAAACCTTAATTTATAACTGTAATAAACAGGAAACCAACTCTGGGTGCTGCTGAGCTTCTTCACCAGATACTGGGCTTCTTCCTGGATCTGCATCTCAATGCTTCTTTTTCCCATCCCAAAATTCCTCAGGGTGGTGAGAGCAAATTGACGGAGCTGCTTCCATCGCTCCCCATTGCTAAAAACAATCCCTGGAGAATGAATAAGAGGAGGAAACAGCTTGGGACACAGTGCTGGGAATGAAAAGGCAGAAAGTAATTCCAGAAATACACAAAAGCCTGTGGCAGAACCCTATTGATGGCTAGAAAATTATATTTAGAGGTTTGCTTTTGGTAATTGACTTATAGGTAAAGTAGATATGTATTAGAATAATGGTCCAGGGAAACAGCAAGGGTAAAGTGATTTCTAAAAGCCTGTTTGTAATAAAGTTTCCTTCAAAGCCCACTGTGTCTGAAACAGGCAAGCAGCAAGCAGACACACAGGCTGGGAAATTGAAGACGTACCACAGAGTTCCATAACATGAGAAGGGACTCCAGTGCATTTGCCACATCGCAGTGCTCAGTTGCAGAGCCCTTGGGATTTCCAGTTTTGGGGAACAGACTAAATTAGGAGGACACAAGAAACAACCAAATTAGGATAGGTGCGTGTAATGTGTTTGTGAAACAAAGGAATACAGGTTTCCCTTGCTTTATACGGGTTCTGTATGCATGAATTCACTCCTTTGCAAGCCTTTTTATACCAAAAAAATTGGTTATATGCGAGGTAAATTCACTCTTATGTGATCAATGTGGTGGAAGCCCACAGTCAGCTGATTTGTGCAGTGCATTGTGGGAGTGATGCCATAGACAGAGGAAGAAAAATTTATCGGGGGGAGAGAGGAGGCTGAACTGGGTGGTGGTGCCTTGGCCGGGTTGCTGCACCCTGCACCCTGGCCCAGTCCTGCCCTGTCAGTGTGGCACCCCGGGAGCTGTAAGCCATGATGCCGCCCGACAGCAGTGTCTGCAGCTGCCACTCAGGGCAGCTGGTGCCCATGCTTTTGGAGCTGCAACTGCCCCTGGAGCAGCACGGTGCTACGTCAGTACAGTTGAGGGGGTCAGTACAGTCAAGGTTTTGGAATGTATCCCTATTTGTTACATTGTAAAGTTGGTTCCCTCTATGCGAATTCAAGTTATGTGTCGTTTTCCAGGAATGCATGTACAGGATAAAGCTAGGGAAGCTTGTATGCTGACAGGAGAGAACATGGACAGTATGATGAGCACAAGGATACCAATCAACGATGCCCAAAGATGAAGAGTCATCAGAGGGGGAGAAAGAATACAAAAGGAGGAATTTCAGAGCAGCAAGGGGTCCCCAGGAAGGAAACCCAAGGCCACCATGGACAGAGGGCATACCACCAGCCTGTCTCATGCACCCCACCCTTCTCAGCCCTTCTCCCAGTGCTACCTTCAGAATGGGAAGGAGGGAAGGAAGCAGAGCCAGGGTGGGGAGGAAGGGTGGGGGCTTCAATCCACCCCCCCACCCTCCAGTGCTGACTGAAAACACTCCAGACCATAATCCCTCTGCTCCCTTCCCCTCCTCCCATTCAGACTCACAGCAGCTCCAAATTGAAGCTGAATCCCCCAGCCTCTGGGATCCAACAGTAAACACCTGTTGGGTTGGGGGGATTGCTGTAACTCACAGCGCTTCCTGCAAAGCACCATGAATTACAGCTGGGAGCTGCATTTCTGTCTATACCTAAGATGTATTTAAAGTCCCAGGCAGGGGAAGAAGCCTCTGCTCCCCCAGTACTGAGCAGCTGAGCCAGCATTGCCTAGTGCAGGGTTTTGACAATCAGCTGATTGGTGGCTTTGGCCCTGACAGCCTTGGGTCTCAAACCCAGGGTATCCAGAGCCAAAAATCACCTGATTATCTGCCCATACAACCCCAGGTTAACCAGACTTGGGACTGTACAGGGTTGCAGCCAAAAATCAGCTGATTCCCGGTCCCATTTCCCAGACAGCCCCAGGTCTTGAACAAGACCAAAGACAGTCCAGCAGGGCTGAATATCAGTTGATTGTCAGCCCTGCATGTGGGCATCCAGCTTTCAACTAGCCAGGGTAGAGACAGCCAAGGCTCCCTCCGCACTGGCAAATAGTAATGGTGCTACTGGGATCTGATACCCCCTCCCAAAATCACTTCACTTGCCATCCACCATGTCATTAAATGAGAGTATATTAGGTGCCTAAAGTGCCACCCTGCCTTGCTATCTGCCTGACTTCTAACATGGCTATCTACCTCTCTCTACTCATAGAGATGAAAGTAGACTGATTTGTAAACTTTCATGCCCCTAAAGGATATTATTAAATACTGAAACAGTGCAGTGTAAGCTGAAGAATTACATGATAGTGCTGTCATTTTACTTGCTAGATTTGGGGCCATATACAAAGCAGGACTTAGATGGATCCTGTCCTGAAAACTATTGCTCAGCTGCTGCCTGACCTGGGAAGGACCCAGCCCAGCAGGTACCTCACTGGTTTACCCTCCATTTCAATATGCACTTGCTTCTGTGTAAGTTTAGAATTGTCCAAGACTAAGCTGTTGGTGCCCAGCTCCTGCTTCAGTGCAATCTGTATCCAGAAACTAGGTACAGCTATGTTGAAGCCCTTAGAGGACCCAATCCCTTAGGTCTGCTCTTATGTTGCCTAACACAATCTTAGATACTGATGGAAGTTCAGTTAAAGATGTGATGGGATCTGATCCACATTCCCAGCAGTTGCACTCCTGCTATGCTAAACATGCATGGCAGGAGGAGTGATTGTGGAATCGGGGATCAGTGCAGGGGGAGCCCAGAATCATGATCCCGGGCTCCCCCTGCACAGGAAAGTAGGAAGCTGGCGGCCCTGTACACCCATGACTGGGCATATCAGTCAGCTGACTTCAAGACTCCAGTGTGCTCTGAGGCTGGAAGCACTCCCAATCAGCTGATCACCATTCCTAGCCCTAAGAGTGCACCAGCTACATGTTCAATTTAAGATGAAATGGGAACCAGCCACAAAGTTATTATACATATGTTGTATAATAATTTTGTAGCTTATTCCCTGTTTTTTCACACTATTAGCTGCATGAATGTGTGGCCAGGTTACTACTGAAGACATGATTAGTGGTTAATCACATCTAAAGTGTAGTGTTGCCAGGGGCCTCCACAGTCCCATGTGTTTTGTTATTAAAATGAAGGTGTAAGAGGAGGCTGGTGGTGCCCCCTGCTTCATACAGTAGTCTCAAGCACTCAGCCAGGACAGGGGACATAAGGATACAGGCTGAAGGGATTGAAAACCATGCCAGCCCCCTGCCAGATCACCAGATTCAAAGCCAGCCTGATGTAGACATACTCATCAACACAGCTCCCTGCTAATTGTTTGGGTTTTTTAACCTATTTTAAGGAATCTAACATTCTGTGGACACATCTACATAAGACACTTAACTGAGAAGTAGCATAGTTTACTGTTCAGCACACATGTCTACACATGTGCATGCTTATTGCACAGTAAAAAGGCTTAATCGCAAGTAAATTTGCTACCAGCAAGTGCTGATAGCAAATTTACTCATGATTAGTTACTGAGCAGTTACATACACATAGACACAACCCAGGAGCAAGTTTGCTCCTATGTCAGCTCTGCCATCTGGGGGCTGGCCTGAGGCTAGCCCCAGGGCTCCAGGCTGGGAGCCTTTCCTGCCCCAGGGTTGGAATGCTTCTATGGCAGCCCCTACCTCAGTAGGGCTGTGCGAAGCTTCGGGTGCTGATTCAATTTGGAGGAGATTTAGCCCAATTTGGTGGCTGAATCTCCAAATCTGAATCGAATCAGGAAAAGGTCTGAATTGATCTGAAGCTCTCTGAATTGATTTGGAAAAGATTTGGAGAGCTTTGGAGATTCAGGCAGTCCCCTCTTGCTGCTGCAGGGAGCTGGATCCAGAATCCATGCCGGTAAGTAGGGGGCGGGGAGAGGGGGCTGAAGGAGGGGGAGGGGAACATGGGGGGACCCCCACCAGACCCCATCCCCTGCCTGCTCTCCCAGCCCCCCTGAGTGCCCCTGAACCCTGCCTGCTCTCCCAGCCCCCACACGGCTGCCCACCTGGCCCCAGCTCCTGGCTTTTAAAAAAAAAAAATGCTCCCACTCGCCAGCTCCTGCCAGGCGGGGGGGAGGGGCAATCCCCACTGTCCCCCACTGCCCTATGCTTCATGGGGGGCTCTGCCACAAGCCCCCATCCCCTGCCTGTTTTCCCAGCTGGGAGAGCGGGCAGGGGATGGGGCCTGTCTAATGTGGACATTCAATTCAGGATGGTGATTTGAATCACCGAACTGAATCACTGGCCCCCGAATTGGCCAAAACTGAAATGAATACTAGCCACTTTGCACGGGCCAGAGGCCATTCCAGGCTCCTGTGTCCCCCTGAGCAGGCCATAGGCCAGCTGTCCTAGCCTGCCTGCACTCTAGCACTGCTGCCTATCACCACACTGCCATGTGGCTCTCAGGCCCATGTTATCCAGGGCTGCAGGTTGCTCCAGGCTGCTGCAAGCTCCTGCCAGGCCCCAAACCAGCTGCAGGCAGCTTCTGGCTGCTAGGGACAGTTCCACCTGCTCACAGCCCACAACAAGCAGCATGCCCTGAGCTCACAACTGCTGTGGAGTAGGGCTGTGTGAAATTTTGCTGGCCGTTTCATTTCAATACTGTTTTGACCAATTTCAAGGTCAAAACAGCAAAATCGGAATGAAACAAAACCCGTTGAAATAGCCTCAAAACAAAACGAGGCTAGTTGAAACATTTCAAAAGTCAAAACATTTTGACCATAGGCTGGGGATGGGAAGTCAGTCCAGCTGGGCTGACTTCCCATCCCCCATACTAGAGCCCCATCCCTGGTGCTAGATCACATGGGGGGTGTGGGACGGGGAATGTGGGACAGGAGGCAGCCCAGCTGGGCTGCTTTCCCATCCCCCATGCGATTTAGCATGGGGGATGGAGAAGCAGACCAGATGGGCTGCCTCCCACCTCCCGCTTCCCACCCCCCACGTGATCTAGTATGGAGGATGGGAAAGCAGCCCAGCTGGGCTTCTTTCTGCCCCCCACGTGATCTAGCACTGGGGATGGGAAGTCAGCCCAGAAAGCCTGTTTCGACGTTTCACTGGAGATGGAGAGTCAGCCCACTTGGGCTGACTTCCCATCTCCAGTGAAACGTCGAAACATCTTTTCTGTTTTGATGGAACGAAACGGAACAGCTGTTTTGATTCGAAATGAAATTTGAAACGGAATGCTATTCCATCGAAACTTCAAAACTGAAGGCGAAATGGAACGGTGCCATTTCGCACAGCCCTACTGTGGAGCATTGCCTCTGCCACATGACTGACGGTTCCATGCCAGGTCCCTGTGCTGGGTGCTGCAGCCAGTTGTCCAGGCCCAGCATCTCAAGGACAGCTGTGGGAGGCCCAGAGAGTCAGCATGAGACCCATGATGGTGTCCTCCTTCTCTGAAGCTGTGCCCACACCCGTGCCTACCATCTGGGGCCCCAACGGGTCACAGAAGGAGACTGGTGACCTCATGCCACTGTGGGGCAAGGTGGAGGTGCAGTGCCAGTTTGAGTGGGGCAGGGGCTCCAATGCCCATGTCTATGAGGGATTGTCAGCCAGATCCAGGGGTGCGGACACAACCAGTTGGCATGGCAGTGCTGCATAAATGTCAAGGGCACAGTGGGTTTCCATCACACACCACAGTCGTCAGTTGGGGAGTGCCCGTCCTTGCCCTTTATGCAGCAACTGATGGACATACTTATGCCCCATGTCTGTAGCAGGATGGGTGGCCTGCCTGAGCCCCCACCCCAGCCTGGCACCCCTGGTGACATGTCACGGGGGGGGGGGGCATAGACATCCAGCAGCCCGTCCTGCCAAGCTCCCTGGCTTCACCCTCCACCAGAAGCTTGGGGAGCCCAGGCCAGCACCTGCCGCATCAGCTCTGCAGCCCCAGCCCCCGCCACAAGGCACAGCCAGCCATGACACCGCTGGCCGCCAGGAACACCAGCTCCTCCCCCAGGGAGGGGCAGGGGGGGCCAGCCAGGAGCCTGCCCACTGCACCCTGCCATCTGAGGACACTGCCTGGAGCTGCATGCCATTGCCGACAGCCGTGACCATGCAGGGCCACCAGCCACGCCAGCCCAGCCACGTAGTAAGCCCCACTCTGGGGGGAGAGTCCTGCCCCTTCCCCTGCCCCTGCATCTGAGAGTTAGGTATTGCAGCACTTAATTTGTAGGCACCAAAGTCTTTAGTTAGATCTACCCCTTGTGCTGTAATATCTTTGGGGCAAAGACTGTCTCTTCCAATCTCTCGTCATCCCCCTGCTCTCCAAAAAGAGAATGTCCCCACCAGGAGCTCCAATGCTGAAAAAGTACCTAATCCATTGTTAAACTTGTCACCAATGGGCATGCGTCCTCTGGCAGCAAACTTATCTGCACGATCAATCAGTGCCTCCTTCACAGCCTCGTATCCATGCAGCGCCACAACACGCTCAGATCCAAAGTGCACTGTGAACACTGGACCATATGTCTCACTCAGCTGTGAAAACACAACATGGCTGGGGTCAGCTTCAGGGGTGGGGAGGATCACAGCCATTTAGACAAATGCTGACAAAGGCACCCCTCTTCAGAATTACCTGAACTACCTCTCCACACACTACCTCCCAAAGCAGTGGCAGTAAGGCTGTGTTGAAGCACTGCTGCTTTTTATTGCTTTCTTTTATGCCATAAGTGAATGTGGGTTGGGAAGTGAGGTTGGATTGTGTAGACAGAGACACTCCTTGGTCAGAGGGAAGAGAGCGGGATGGGGTGGGCAAGGTAGATTGCTTTTGACTTTTGAGGGCAGGGTTGGAGAGGTGGGGAGTTTACTTTGTTGCATCTTCTTTTAATATGTTATTTCATTTATTTAATGTCTTGTCTTCTATTGTAAACTGAACCTTTTGTGGGAAGGGTGGCATATAAATCTAAGAAAGAAATAATAAATAAATAAATACAATTTCCAACCCAGCCTGCATCTCCAATGTACTAGGTTCAATGCATGAAAACAGAGGGATTTCTTGACATTAGCAGTTTTTCCTGGGCATAGTAGGCAACTGTCAATCCTCTGAATCATGGTATATGTGTAAGAGGTCTATGTTAACTTGATGAAGAGCAGACACCATTCAGTGGCAGGACCAGGAATATAGCACCCCAGCAGCTGAGACTAATATTAGACAGTAAAGCAAGCTGAAAACATTCTGTTTTTCATTCCCTGCAACAAAACACATAGGAAGGAGGAAGCAGCCGTACCTTGTGGAGGGTTCTGGACAAATTCTTGGTTTTCAGCTGCAGTGCGTTCCCTACGATGGGAAAAGAAACTGGTCCAGGTGGCAGCTTCCCATTTCCAGACCTCTTTCTCCAGCTTGCGAAGAAGAGAAAGCAGGAAATACACAGCACCAGGAAAACAGTTGTTGCTTCTTGAGTATCCATTGTAAAGTGTAGCACTTACTTCAGATTCTAGTGTGGAATTAATGAGCACGTTGGAATGCTTATATACTGTGCAGTATCAAGGTGGATGCCAGCAATTTATCCAATAGCAGGTCTGGGTTCTCCTGTGTCAGTGAAGATTAACTTTTCACTAGCTGAGTTTGTTTAGCATTACCAAAGTAGGAATGAACTCTGAACATTTTAATGATAGTTGTTACTGCACAGTAATCACCATTACTGCTCAGTCCTGGAGGCGCATGGGTTATTTGCGACCCTACTGCACAGCAGCAACAAGCCACTGCACAGTAGCTCATTGCTACTGCACAGTAGCGGCAGCATCACGGTTTGTGCCCACCGGTGCTTTGTTAACATAGCGATGAGCTATGTTGCCATAGCTCATAGCTACGGCAGCATAGCATCTCTTGTAGACATACCTTCTATGCCTTCTGTTATGTGTCAGCTGCTTGAGGGTGAGGAGGAGGCCTCTGCACCGTGTTAAGATTTTATCTTAAGTTCTGCTCTGTAACTTTCTGCTTCATAGAGCCAATGTCTCCTGATACTGCTTCCAGCCTTGGCCTTCTTTTTTAGGGTATGGGCAGGACTGTAGAAGAGCTGAACCAAAGGCCCAAAGTCCATCTCTGACCATGGAGGTGTGAACACCATGAGTGTTATTAGTGGCACATTCAGTAGCATGTGAAGCAGTTGATGATCCCCAGCTAAGCAAATAGTAAAATCTGAAATTCAGTTTAAGTAAAGCATGAAAATTTGATATATACCTGTATAGTTGTGCACACTGTAGCCTTAATTATATTGATAACGCTCCACGGATTCTCTTAGCTTGTGTAATTTAGAACGAGCTCACATTGTGTTTTGTGGTGGAGGCATTCTAGAGGGAAACATTGCCATCACTGAAACAGCACTTATATTGTTCATTTGTACAGGATGAGTCACTAGAAGAGCTGCACTGGATCTCATGGATGCCTGTGTCAATTGTACATTCCTTATGGACTTAAGGTTAAACTGAGTCATTATTGAGACATCTATATACAACTCATAGACATTTGGCATGGAAATTGGGAAGTCTTGGGGGCTGTGCCTAGACCATGGAAGCAGCCACCTGTGGAATATCAGGTGTCTGAGCCCCTGGCATCTTGTAAGGCTGGCTGCTTACCCAAGAACCCTTGTTTATGTAAACAAGGCCTCCATTCTGGAAGAGATTCTAGTACCTTTAGTATCTTATTGATTTTCACTGCCAATAAATAATAAATAATAGTATACATCCCTATTGCTAGCAGATTTGGACATATTCCCTTCCACCTTCCCGGCCTAAGCCACCGAATCCTTCATGTGGCAATCCTTCAGTGCTGGGTCAGGAGTAGACAGATGCCTTGGATAAGTTTATGCACTAATTGATTTTTCAAGTGCCTAATGACATGTTCACAACATGTATTTCTTACTTTAGCCACCGAGGATGACTGGCATGTCCTGGATACAGTGCTAGCCCTGGCAGTCATTTTCATGCACCAAGCCCCTGGCACTGGCACTGACTGGTCCCTGGCAGCCACCCACAGGGCTATGTCAAACTCCCCAGTGGGCCTGGGAGAAAGTACAGCACCGCCCGCAATGCCCAGGGCCCCCCACCCCTGATCCTGATCCTGGTCTCCTGCTAGCCTGGTCCCCTGCCTGGGCCACTGCCCGCCATTCATGCCACCTGTATGCAACCACTGAGTGGGAGCTGGTCACGGCATGGCCAACTCCCCACACGGGGCCTGCTAGCCCTGGCCCTGTGGAGGAGGAGGGGGAGTTCATTGGGCAAACTGTACAGCACTTGCCCTTGCCCTTGGCCTTGGGCCAGCACCCAGCCCACTAGCCTTGCCACAGAGTCCAAATCCAGGGTGCTGGTGGCAGAGGTCGTGGTGCTGGATGCTTCCCTCCATGCTCTGCACTGTAGGCACCTCCTCCCCAGAGCCCCTCCTCCCACAACAGTCGTTAATTCACAATGTAAATAGTTTCATGGGAAAAAGGGTGTGAGTTGCAGTTGTGGGAGGTCTGTTGTTGGGGAGGAAAGGAAGGAGGGGTTCTGGTGGGGAGGGAGGGTAGAAGGGGATCTGTTGTTGGGCAGGGTGGGGGGTCCACTGGTGTGTCGTGGGGGGAAGTAAAGGTTGGCATTTGTTGCAAACTGTCCACTGTGTGCATGGTTCTGGGTTGCCCAGTGGGCCTGGGGCCCATGGGCAGCCACCCAGGTGTCCTGCTGCCGGGGCTGGTGGAGGAGGTGGTCCGTGAGTGCCTCACACACAGGGCCCTGGTCCCTGCTGCCAGGAGTGTGGCTTGCCCAAGACCTCGGGGTGGGACAGTCATGTCACCCAGCTGCAGGTCTGGGACTCCTGGCACAAAGTGTCTACTCTCCATCAGGTCTAGCAGTGTTCCAGAAAATCCAGGTGTTGTGGGTGCTGCCAGCGTAGATGTTGCTGAATGACCCCTGATGGCATTCAGCAACATTCAGCCCCCTGCAGAACAATGAAGTGGAAGCCCCGCTGGCAGTAGTAGGGGCAGTCTGCCCAGGGCAGGCAGGTGACCAGAATGCATGTCCAATTGAGGGCCCTGATGCACAGGGGGAAGCTGAGTGCTTGGAAACCCACCACCACCTCCAGTGGGTTGGCAACCTGAGCCACAGTGTTGGCTAGCATGTCCTGGAGGGCATAGGGCAGCCTTTAAGAGACCAGCGCTGGCATCTGTGCAGCTGAGGCTGGAGCCTGGAGCTCCCCCTGGCTGCTGCAGGGGGGCAGAGCAAGTTTGGAGCAGCCCTCAACTAAACTGTTCCCATTGGACTCAGTTTGCTCCCAACCCAGGTGCGCACGTAGACATGTGCCTGGGAGTAGTTTACTACTCATGAATTTACTAAGCAGTAAATTCAAGTGCATTAATTGCATGTGTAGACATGCCCACTATGTGTCAGCTGAGGTCATGCAAATTCAGTTAATATTAGTTGTACTCTTATCACAGATTCATAGATTCATAGATACTAGGGTCGGAAGGGACCTCAACAGATCACCAAGTCCGACCCCCTGCCCTGGGCAGGAAAGA